TTGTGCCTCCTTCATCACTCCCTTCCTCTTGGGCAGTGGCCATGAGACAACATGTTCAAGATGGAGGAGCCACAAAAGTGGTCAGGATCACTGCATCACCCATGGAGAAGCTCCCGAGAGAGAGATGACCCAATCGGATTATGTGTGAGAAAGAAAGAAACCTTTGTTGTTCGAGGCCCCTGAGATTTGGGGTCGGTTTGTTGCGGCAGCTTGCATTAATCATCTCCACAACACACTGCATGTTAATGAGTCCAGCCTTGCCATGGCGCCCTCTGTGGCTGGGGCCTCCAGACCCTCCCTGGCCTCTCAGCTCCACAGCTGGGAGTTACACTTCTGATAATTTCCTTACTCAACAGCCTGATTTTGAAAGCTCAAAGAAGGAAGGGGAAGGCAGAGGACCCCAGCCAGGTGTCTAGGATGCATCAGCAGCATGTTGCCCTTGCTGGTTGTCCTGTGGCATGACCACCCCGCCTACTCACAGAAGAGGACCCAGAAGCTCAGTGACCTTCCTGAGGCTGTGCTGCTAAAAGAGGTTGCATCTATCTGCTGCCTCTCAGTTAGATCCTTCGTTTTTCAGCCAGTCCCAAAGCCCACCCCTGCCTCATGTCCTATAATGGCCACCAGAGCAGAGCTGGCCTTGTGTGGGCAACTGCTGCAGGATTTGGGGCAGTGTCCAAGGAGTGGGCTTTGCCTCTGGGGATGGAAGTTTGAGCAAGGCTTTGCAGAGTGCCCTGCCACAGGGAGGGGACTGTGGCTCCAGGCGTGAGCATCTCCTTGGAGCAGGGACTTTCCATCCTGGCTTCTGGCAAATACTCAGTCATTGAGGGACAGGAGCCAGCCGAGTTCCCCAGAGACATGAGGCAGGAGAGGCGAGTGCTGTGAAGGGAAGCTTCCCAGGGCTTCCCAGTTCCACCTGAACCAACTTGCTCTGCTGTGGGAAGGTGTCCAGCAGGGAATGCAAGCAGATAATCATCTCTGCTAATGGACTGATAACTGGCCTCTGCAGGGGATGCCGCAGGCAGCAATGACCCTATCCTGTGCTCCTTGCCTGGGGTCACCACCCACTCAGAGACTCAAGACAAACCAGGAGGTCATCTGCAGTTCCTTCAGGCCCACACCTGGCTGTCACTTTCTCTTAACATTCTCGAAGCCCTACCCCCACTGCTCCTCTGGCCCCCTCATGGCTCCTGCAGCAACTCCCAGATGGCCTCTGCTTCCGCCTCCCTTCATACTCCTCCATGTGGCCAGAGGCACTGTCATAAGACACAATGACATTCAAGGCCTTGGTCAACCTCCTGAAGTCAACCTCTTCAGCATGGTTTCCTGAGCCCTGCAGCCCCGAGGACCACCCCTACCTTTCGCTCCTACCCAGGTGACCATCTGCACTCTGAACTACTCTGCACCAAGGGCACTCAGCCTTGTGCTGTGGCTGATCTGCTGTGGCCCCATTCTTCGAGGTGAGGGCTGCTGGTGTGTACAGGATGCACAAAAGTAACCCTAGCTGCACCTGTTTGATGCTAGTAATACCTCCCTGAACACCAACTCCAATGTCCCAAGACATTACCAATGTCCTCTGGGGCCAAGTCGAGACCACTGCTCTCTGCCTTTGCTTCTGAAAGGTTCTTTCCCTTCTTTTGCACCTGGTTTCCTCTACCGCCTTCTTTCAAATCCACACCAGCATCTTCACCTCCCAGGGGCCTCTGCTGGCTCGCCCAGGCTGGGGTAGGGGTGGCTTCTCAGGACCCCCCTCCCAGCACACAGCACTAATCCAGTCACACTGCATTCAACTGATCTGTTTATGTTTGTCCCTTTTCTGTAAGGTGGGCTGCTCAGAACCCCCTCCTCGGAACAAGGAACACATGGAGCATGTGCTCAGAGACCACCGGGTCGGAAGGATGGATTTTGACTGGAGGCAGAAGAGCCCTGTGCATTGGAGGGGTCTGGGCAAGGCAGACACAGAAACAGAAGTGACAAAGACCCAGCAGGAAGCAGCACCTTCCAGGACAAAGACCAAGAAGATGTGGATATCAAGATGAGACTGAGAGCCAGGTGTGGTGATGCATGCCTGTACCTCTGTGACTCAGGAGGCTGAGGCAGGAAGATGACATGTTCAAGGCCAGCCTCAGCAACTTGGCAAGACCTTTTCTCAAAAATGAAAAGCACTGGGGACGTGGCTCAGCATAAAGCACCCCTGGGATCAATCGCCAGGACCAAAAAAAACCCCAAAAAACCAGTTGGGTGATGTGGCTGGAGCCCAGTGGGGACTGTAGGAGTGACCACAAGAAAAAGGAAGTTGGAGCAGGAGGAGGTATGGTCACAAAGGCCCCAAGAAGACTTCCGCAGCCCTGGGGTGTCCAGCAGAATGCTGGGGGGGTGGGGGGAGTTTTGTGGTCAAATAAGTTTGGGAAATGCTTTGTTAGCATAAGTAGTTTTCTCATAGCAGGACTTCTCGAGCTTTCCATGTGCTCATGTGCTCGTGAGATGGCGGCCCACACTGTGCTGACCCCAGGGCCTCTGGTCAGTGTCCTACAGCTACATCTGAAAACACTGCCTGGAGCTGACATGTGAGCTGCATCTTAGGAAGGCCCCCAGGCAAGGATGATCTGGATTTGGGGGACAGTGGCTCTGGGAGTTGACAGGGGCATGAGCCACTAGCTCAACTCTCACTGGGTCCCTTGCTCCAGCACCTGGGGCTTCTGCAGCCCTGAGAAGTAAAGTGGGCTCTCGAGCTCCTCGTGGAAGGCTGGGGGCACAGTGCAGAATTTATTGAAGAATTCAAGCAGTCGACCCAAGAGATGGCCTCCCCAGGCCCCTGGGCTGTAACAGATGGTGTGGTTTAAATTTCAAAAATTGAGGAGTACTTAAGGAAAAATGTTGGCAGGCACAGAGGCACTTGTAAAACCATCTGAGCTGATGGGGCGTCTGGGCCCCATGCCTCCAGGAGTCGAGGCTGCTCTGAGCAGAGGTAGGGAGGGCTGGAGGGCCCAGATCAGGGTCTGCTGGCAGAGGCCTCTGGATGAGGTGGGCCAGGAGGGCGAGAGGGAAGCCCTGGCGCCTGCCCATGTCCTGCCCTTGGACAGGCTGCCAGCGTCTACTCCAGCTGCACAAGGGGAGCACAGTCAGGCAAGGCTGGGTGGAGGGAGCACCCCACCCCACCAGATGGCAGGAAGCTGCACACCCCAGGGGAAAGGCCTGGGGTCCCGGCATCACCCAGAGGTGGGTACAAGTTCTGGTTCTGCCACTAGCTGTGACCTGGCAGGTGACAGCTCTGTGGAGCAGCCTCATCCTCAGCGGCAAGAGGAGCGTCTGCAGCAACTGCAAGGACTCGGACAGTAGGTCCTCAGCCCCTGTTAGTCATCACTGTTTCTGGGGACACAGCCTCAAAGAGGGTATGGAAGGAAAGTTGGAACAGCCCAGCAGAGCCGCAGCAAGAAGGCATCTGGCAGAGTGCAGGTGAAGACGCAGCCTAGCAAGTGACTCGCCTCTCTGGGGCCTGGCAGCCTTGTGAACGGGACAAGGACACTGGCACCACCAGCAGTACCATCTCGGAGGTGTCTGACCCCTTCATAGTAGCCAGGGAGCTACTATACTTATCATCCTTCTGGAGCACTTCCTGCCCTCAGGGTGGCACCTCCTCTGGACTTGGGTCCCTTTTTATAGTGTTCACAGTGTTTTCAGTGGTGACCAAGAGACCAAACATGCACCTACCTGCAGCCCCATGGATAAGTCACTGGCTGCAACTGTGGGTGAGCAGGGCCCCCGCTCAGAATGACTTCTCCTGACCTCCTACACCTGGGATCCTCACAGACTCCAACAGGCCTGTGTGTGGAAGGGGGCAAGGCAACGCTGTCCAGTGGCCCAGGGCCATGTCTTGGCCGGAATGAGCTGGGCCTGTTCTGAGTCTGAAGGCATTTCACAAACATTAATCCTGTCACATCCAAACTGTGAGAAAGGACTGGGGTGTGCACAGCTCCCAGAGGGAGAAGGAAATGATTATGACGGAGAGACTGACAGCCGCTGTGTGCGCACGTGTATGGTGGCCTTCAGTAGGCCGGTGAGCAGCAGGGCCCGACGGGAGCCGCACTGCTGGGTGTGAGCCCAGCTCACGGGGGAAGCGAGACAGCCACTACCTACTGCATTCCCTGGACAGGACCTGGTCCCACAGGCTGTGCCAGCCCGGTCCACCAGGAGCCTGGGCGGCTTCCCAGAGGACCACCCTCTGAGGGGCTGGTGCCCATGACATCAGGGCCCTGAGCAGGAGGAAGCCACCGTGGGCCCTGGGACACACCCAGGGCTGTTCACAGGCAGGTCTTGTCCCTGGCTGTCACTGCCTCACGAGGTGGGTTTAGCAGGGGGGCCACTTTTTAAGAAGGGAAACTGAGGCCCAGAGAGGGAAAATGAGCAGAACGCTAAATGGGCCAAGAACAGACTTCTCTGTCATGCGGGTCGAAGGGGGAAGGTCCCAGAGAATCCAGTTTGCCAGGACCCGAGGGGTGGCTCCACCTGGCTCCTTCAACCATCCAGTGGGTGCTAAGGTGGGGAGAGGGTGGCCCCTCACCCTCTATCATCCTCCAGAACACACTCGGAACTCTCCGCATTCTCCTGTGTGCCCTGCTGACCGTCCAGACCCGGGGCTGTGCTCGCCTTCCGGATCCCTCCCGGTCCCTCTCTGACCTCTCAGAGCAACCCCTGGTGAGCCTTTTCTTCCAGGCACTTCCCCTCCTGCCCCAATACACGGTGTAGGTAGCAGGAGGACCGATGGAAGGGACTCACCCAGTGAGCAGGCTTCCTCCCTGACTCAGCCTGGCCTGGACCCCTACCTCTTGTCTGCTGGGCTGGGGGTGCCCTCTGGTTAAGGACGAGAACCAAGGTCTCTGGAGACAATGGAAGCCCCTGGCCCTGTACTTCATGGTGCCTCATGTGGCCTGGCAGGGACCTGGGGCCCATTTCCTGGAGAGGGCCTCCGGTTCCTCCTGCTGCAGGGTCTGGAGGCCTCTTACCTTTGGGGTGAGGTACTTGGTCATAATTTCCTTCCCTTTCTCTCCCAGCTTTTCATCTGGTGTAACTTCGTATTCTGCCTGAAACAGAAGGAGAAAAAGATAACAGATTTGCTCGAGAGCTCCTTTTAGTTAGAGAATCTTGGAGCCCCGGAGAAGACCCCCCGAGGCCACTGACCAATCTTCTTCTACAGGGCAGGAAACTGAGGTCCAGAGAGCAGGGCAGACCTGGTTGAGCAGCCCAATGTCTAGTCCAAATTTCTCCACACTCTCCCAGGACGCTGGCTCTAAGAGCAGCACTCTCCATGCAGGCTGCCCACCAGAGACATGGACAAACACTGGGACCCAGAGCAGCAGGACAGACCCTCTGGTGGCCAGGAGGGCAGCATCTGGAAGCTGGGGTTGAGGAGCACCAATTCAGATGAATCAAAGGCAACCACTGGAAAACAATGGGCCACCCAACCGGAGCCCACAGAAAGGCTGCCCCAGGTCACTCAGACCTCACGAGTCACATGCCCCTGGACAGTGTGCTCAACTGTCTAAGTGCAGAGGGGTCCGGCACCTGTGGCACCTGTATGAGGTTCAAGGCAACCTCACAGTTCAGGGCCCAGGGTCCAACTTCTCCCAGGCCGCCAGGGGACACTCCTGGACAAAGGGAAAGGGAAGGTGGCACTTGGAAGGTCCAGGGGGATCCAGGCCCACTTCCATTCTGAGAGCCAAAGGCCCACAATCCCCAATGAGAAATGCAAACCCTACAACCATCTGCACCCTGGGACTGTGGATGGTGGTTCCAGAAGGAATCCAACCCCTCATTTTAAGGGCTGGGCATGAAGGCTCAGAGAAGCAAAGGACTTGCCCCAGGTCACACAGCCGGCACCAGCAGGGGAGGGGAGGCCCTGCCTGCTGTCCCCTCATTCCTACTGAACCATCCAGTCACAGCCTCTCTCCAAGGCCACACCTCCTCTCCATCAAGACGATTGTGAGAGACAGAGGCTTTCCTGATGATTTGATCTGAGTGGTGACTTCTTGGGATGTTTAATGGAGAGAAGGTGGCTCTTCCTCTTGACTCTTTCCTGTATCTTTCTCTAAGCTCATGCACCTGCACACACACACACACACACGGACACACACGCACATGGACACACACATGTAGTACTGACAACCAGCATGACTCTTCCTAATTGATGGCAGAGACACTGAGGGGCCAAGAGGCCAAACAACTGGTTCAAATCCAACAGAGCTGCTAAGCAATTGTTTCCTGTCTGAAGGGCCCAGCGTTCTGCAGTTACTGACTGCCCTTCTCCAGGGATAGCAGAGAAGCACCAGTGTCCTGCTGCCCCTGAACGTCCAGCCTCGTGGCCAGGCATGTGGGAACATAGCCAGGTTGCTTTGCAGGCCCAGGCTTTTGGCAAGTGGCCAACCACTGCTTAGGGTACCTCCACCCCACCCAGAACACTGGATTCGCACTGCCCCAAAATACTTCTGTGGAGGCGGTTCTATTTAACCGAATGGAGACCTGGGCTCACTGATCAGCCTCAATAACCAGCTGAAAATGTTATTACTCTGGGTACTGAAACCCACGCTAAGAAAACAATAACGTCACTTTCAGGTCAGCCACCTCCCAGTGGAGGCCAGATGGGCTCATGGCTCCGCAGGGAGGCAGCTGGGAACACATGGGGACAGACCTCCCCAGCCCAGGATCGAAAGACCTTTCTTGAGGAGTCCACGTTGGACTACCACCATCTGACATTAGAGTTGGGAAGCAGGAACCGGCAGAAGGCCTCCCCCTGAGGTTTCCACACTGATCAAGTCACACATCTTCACAGTGACCCCCAGGGGGTCCGGGGCTCGTGGGGGTCAAGTCCTGAGAGGCCACCTACAGAGAAAAGGCCCCTAGCAGCTGAGCTGGACGGGCTGAGCTCAAGGCAGATCCCACGACATGAGGCTGAGACCCAGTAAGAGCTTGTGACGCCAGAACTTTAGCATCAGATCTGGCTCAGGAAACAGCAGCCAAGGAGGCCTTCAAAGAAAGAGGTAGATCCAACGCGAGGACCGTTGCTGAACCCCATCTGCACCAGAGGCCCTTCCCACCAGAGCAGGAGGCTGGCCTTGTCCCTCCCCAAAGAGGGATGCCCACAGTCCTCTTGCTCTCCTGCCCACCTGACTCCCTGCCCCTGCTCAGAGCTCAAAGCCCTCGGAGGGCAACTCTCCTCAGATACACTGCAGGTGCCAATCATGGTAGGGCGCAGTGGGCTTCCGTGGGCTGTGACTCGTGCTGACACATGTCGGATGGCCTTGGGGAGCAGGTGCTGCCCCGATGCAAGGAGAGAAGGGCTCCCCTGAGCTTGGAGCACACAGGACTACTCATGGGTCTCTGCCTGCCAGAGCGCGGAGTCCGTGGGCAGTGCAGACCACCACCTGGCATTCCATCCACGGTCAGCGCTCACTGCCTCATCCATCTCAGAGAACACGACAGAAAACAGGTCCTGGTGGTGGGGACGCTTTTCCCCAGATGGTCTTTAGGACTTGCCATGCGACCAAAGGAGCCACACTGCTTTAAAGAGCAGAAGCTGCCGCGGGATGCTGCTTGGCCCTGACTGGCCTGGTGCCCCTCCTTCTCCCCGGAGACCCTCTCCTGCCTTGGCAGGAAGATGAAGTCAGAGATGCCTTGAGGTCTCGCCACCCGGGCTTCTGTAACTGTCGATGTGGTCAGCTTTTCCAGTGTCTGAGAGGCAGGGGCAGTGACGTGCATGGCCAGCAGCATGGCTCCCCATGGGTCCACCCACACTGGCCCCAGTGTGCTGTCTGTGCTGACTGTCACAGCCACTCTGAGCCCCACCCCACCCCTTCCTACCCAGATATGAGGAGACAGAGTGACACTGGGCAGTTTTCTGTCCCTTCCCTGCCTAGCACCGCAGGTCCCTGTATCCCTCTTCTGTGACCCAGCTCCTGCAGGTCTGCCTCTTCTGTGTTGGTCCCTTCTCTTATCCCTGCAGGTGGAGAGGTGGCAGGGCAGGCATCAGCTGCCACTGATTTCCTACCCCGAGAGCACTCCATAAACCACCCTTGCCAAACTCTTGCACTCACGTACCCGTGGGCACCAGTTTCCTGCCGGGACCTGACTGGCAGGTTCAAGGTGGGTGGACACTGATCTTGCTTCCTCTCTGCCTCCCAGCTAGCATGCAGAGGCACGGCAGGAAAGGGAGTCCTCCAGAGGCCAAGGGTCTGATGGGTCTGGACAGCCCCAAAGCTGTGCCTTCCTAGGCAGCTGTCCTCTGACCTATGGCTTCCGGCTGAGCAGCCCTCTTGGGTTGGGTCAGCAGGAGTCACTGGCCCACCTCAGGGCCACAGATGGGATGGGACCAGACAAGGAAGGGAAGAGCAGATCCCTGTCCACACCAGGCAGAGACTGAGAATGGCAGAAGTGGCCCCAAGGTGACCCAGGTCTTCCTGACAGTCCCACAGTTCCCGGCTTGTGAACCAGGTCCTGGCTGGAGGCAGGCGCTGCACCTCTCTGGGGAGGCGAGAAGTCTGGCTGTCGGTCCCCAGGCACAGGGGCTGTGCTAGCGCCTCCTGTCTGCCCCATCCTCCTCCTGAGCCTCAGCCTTGAGGGGCTTCCCACCTCACCCCTGCCTAGCCACAGTTCTGTTCCCCAGAGCACTTCCCTGTCCTCGCCCACAGCCAAGACTCATCCCGCCACCACGGGATTTGGGCTTTTCCTGTGACTCTTCTGAGTTTCAGTGTAAAGAGCCCAACCTAACCTGGTTCAGGCAAAACTGTCATCTCTTGGCCCTCAGGACCCAAGGACGAGTTGAAAAAACCAAACTAGGGAGAATGAATGCAGCTGGGCCAGGGATGTGAGCCCTTCTGGACCCACTAGCTCATTTGTGGGGGTGATGGGGCTTTAAGCTTCCTTAGAGTGGACTGGCTGTCCCCTCATGGTAGTCATGGCAGGAAACATGGTGGTCAGCTGTTGCCAGGAGCCCGTTTAGATCTTCCTTACCAGAGGACTCCCCTCAAGCCTGTCAGTACCAGAGAAAGGACCTGTTGGCCCAGTTTGGCTCGGTCTTCTCCAACCCACTGTAGTTTGGCGTGATGTCACTTCTAGGACAGCCACATAATTTGGGACTAGGGGTCTCAGGTCTGAGAGGCCACACAGGAGGCTGGACAAGGCTAAAGACTTCCACTGGATGACCCATTTTCTCAAGATGACCCTGTACCAGGATCTGGCTTTACTAACAGTTCTGAGAGTCTCTATGTGAATCTAAGGAATTCTCTCTCCTCTGAGCCTCTCCCTTTGGGAGGATCAAAGCAATGATAGAAAAGACAGACAAATACTGGACGTGGCCCCTAAGTAAGAACCAGAGTCCGCAGTTCCCCTGGCGCGACAGGGCAGATCACTTGAAATAATGCTGCAGATAACCCAGTTCACCAAAAGCCAGGTGACAGCTGCTGGTGGCCTGTGATCAATGAATGGCTTGGAAGGCTACTTACCATTTCCTGATGGGAGATTTCATTTATTGTAACCTCATAACTGTAGCCCCAGCCTCCCAAATGGCCCTCAGTGACCCTGACCTCCTGCCACCCATGCTCTGGAGGAGACACTTTAAGACCCATGGGGTCTGATGAGTGTGACCTGGAGGAATGGCTGTGGAAGCTGAAACGACGGGCCATGGACGACGTCGCCCCCTAACTGTGCTCTGTTCCCTTGGATGGCTTACTCTGCAGAGAGCCAGCCATGGTGTAAGGACCCCGTGCAATCCCACGGAGAGGGCCACCAGGGGAAGAGCAGAGGCCTCCTGCCCACAGCCAGCACCTGCTTGCCAGTCCACGTGAGCGAGCCAGAGAGCAGATCCTCCAGTTGCGGTCGAGCCACCTGATGCTACCCTTCAAGAGTCCTCGAGCCAAGAGCACCGGGCTAACCATCCCCATCTTCCTGAACCACCAAAACCGTGGGATAATAAATTGTTGTTGCGTTTTGAGCCGCTGCAATGTGATAACTAACACTCGACAGGTATTCCAACTCATAGCTGTTGTTTACTTCATTTAAAATTATTCATCATTTATTTATTTTTCCATTT